TATCGATGTACTGCTGTCTATGATGATGATGATGATGATGAAGTATTTATATGCTTTTATGTGTAAAATTTTTATTGTTGAAAAAGTATTAAAATTTATCTTTATTTTAAAGTGTGTGAAAATGGAATAAAAGGTTTTTAGGTTGCATATGGTTATAAACATACTTTATCTTAGTAAAATCGTGAATTGCAATTATTTCTCCATTTTGCACTTTCAGAAATTAAACAAATTATGATAATCCTAGAGCCTGTTTAAGTTATACAAGTTGTGTTAGTTGTTACTTGTGTTTTGATAAGAAGTATTGAAGCTAATAAACTGTTTTAGCAACAATTACAGTCTAAGCTTAACATATCTAAGACATACTTCGGATTAACAGATTTTTCTTTGGGAGTTCTTATTCTGTAAGAAATGTCGATGTCTAATTAGGATGCACTTATTGTTGACCATGTTAATCGCTATCTGTATCATGATAAACAGTAACAAAACTAATAAACTATTTTAAAATGTAGGCTTGATTCATAAAATGCATTTGTTTTTAATTGTGAATGCAATGTAGCTTTTTTTTGTAGCATGTACTATCAGAATGTTTTTCATAAGTTTTCTAATAGAATTGTTGGAGCAAGTTAGGCTTTGAAATTTACATATAAGCATGACTTTTTAACTCCAGTGTACTCTACATAGCTCTTGATCAATGGCAGGTTGACACTAATAGTTCCTTGTAATGTATCTACAAGACATAACTTCTTGACAAATCCATGTATTAATCTACCAACAGGATTTTGAGACTACTAAAATATCTTTCCTGAGGGAAATTGGTCGTGCATTGCATACTAATGTGAAGTTTAAATTGGATAAAAAGGGAAATGAGATGATTTATCCAAGGAGGACAAAACATACAGATGCTATCTCTCCAAATCGTGGACGAACTGGGTAGGTGTCAAAGTATTTCAGTATAATCTCAAAGACAGTCTCAATCCTAGTAGAAAATTACTAAGGTTTTATTTTTTTGTTACTTATGCTACATTAGTTACAAAATAAAAAAGGGTTGAACTTGCTATACTGCTTCTATAAGCTTAGTTTAAGGATTATATTTAATTTGGGTTTTATGATAAAAGTTTAATGCAGTTTTTTTACATGATTACAAAAGACTTTACCATCAGTGTTGCAGGTCTCAATGTTTTACAGGTATCGAAAATGAGACCGGTTAAATTTAAAAGCTTTACCAGTATTTAGACCTACCCAGGATTTTTAAGTGCTAAATATCAATTACATAGAAGTTCATACAGGTGCGGTATAGCATCAAAGATGTTTTACCAGTAAAATCCCCTGGTAATTGGTGCTACACCTTTGTAATGATGTTTATAGTGCATGATTTACTAGTAAAACCACCAGGTAGTTGGTACTACACCTTTGTAATGATGTTTATAGTGCATGATT